ACTATTATTCTACATAAAACATGGAATAAAAAAAAACTAATTGAATTCACATCACATAGGTATTCTGTTAACAGCCAAAATTACAATGAAAAATTGCACGTGATAATAATCATAATCTTGTTCGAACAAAAATGGCATTCTTATGGAGTCTTGAGCAAATTTGTCAATTACTGCGTTGATGAAATTAATTCTATATCTATTAATGAGATGTCGATGAATACGAATTAAACAAAGTCTCAGAAAGTCACTATAATAAGTATTAATCAGAACAGGAATTGAATAATGCAAATGTATCTTGTTTAGAAAGTATCTGAGGGAGGACCAGGCGCTAGGGGGTGGGGGCGAGTGCCCCCCCTTGCCCGCCCCCCTCCGGACGCCCCTGATGATGTGATATTAATTCATATTCAAAAAACTTGTACTGGCTTATTTTGGGGAAGGATCGATGATTTTAAGATGAGATCGCAGCATTTCAATACTGCCAGAAGAGTCCTGAAAATATACGAAATCAAAATTCGTTCCTTGTACCTTTGATGAAAGGAATTAGACCCAAAATTCCTTGAAAATTGGTGGTCGCAACTTAATATCTTCAAAACATATTCATTATCATGATCATCATATCATGAAATATGAAAGAATATACTACTTGCAAATATTCACTCAAAACCTACACATATATACAGGGTGTCTCAACTCGATGACGTTCTGTTCTACCGATATGAAATATTTTCAGCGCAGCGTTGTTGCCGCTTCTATTGAAAATTAGCAACAACTTTGATATTTTGAATGGGACACCCTCTTAACTATTGCATTTTTGTATCTATCGGTTAAATTTTGAAAGTCCTTGTATAATGGAGAACAGATTGCCTGAGACATAACTGAGACAAAGGATATTGTGAAACTATTATTGAAAATTCCAACTCTTCACGGATCCAAATATCATCATATTATTATTATTATATAATTATTTGAAGCTATGTTTGGCATGAAAAATGAGAAAATCAGTGAATTTCTCGAAAAACACTCCATAGGTATATGAAAGTATCATGCAAAGATAATCGAAAAGTGATAGCAAATCGAAATATGCAGAAATATACTGGGTGTGTCCTATTCAAAATATCGAAGTTGTTGCTAATTTTCAATATAAGCGGAAACGCTGCAGCGCTGAAAATATTTCAGGTCGATAGAACACAACTAATTATCCAACGAACAGACTTTTCAGAATAATCCCTAATTAAGACACCCTATATGCTCTTGTTATACGACGCTATACATAGTGGAGTATACTACGGCCTTGCCAAAAATGCTATCTCGGAAACTAAGCGAGATAGAGGTATAGTTACTTTGGAGAAAATGATCCCCATCGAATTTTGAGCAACTTTGGTTTTTGTGTGTGGTCTGTCTGTCTGTCTGTCTGTCTGTCTGTCTGTCTGTCTGTCTGTCTGTCTGTCTGTCTGTCTGTCTGTCTGTCTGTCTGCCTGTCTGCCTGCCTGTCTGCCTGCCTGTCTGCCTGCCTGTCTGTCTGCCTGCCTGTCTGTCTGTCTGTCTGTCTGTCTGTCTGTCTGTCTGTCTGTCTGTCTGTCTGTCTGTCTGTCTGTCTGTCTGTCTGTCTGTCTGTCTGTCTGTCTGTCTGTCTGTCTGTCTGTCTGTCTGTCTGTCTGTCTGTCTGTCTGTCTGTCTGTCTGTCTGTCTGTCTGTCTGTCTGTCTGTCTGTCTGTCTGTCTGTCTGTCTGTCTGTCTGTCTGTCTGTCTGTCTGTCTGTCTGTCTGTCTGTCTGTCTGTCTGTCTGTCTGTCTGTCTGTCTGTCTGTCTGTCTGTCTGTCTGTCTGTCTGTCTGTCTGTCTGTCTGTCTGTCTGTCTGTCTGTCTGTCTGTCTGTCTGTCTGTCTGTCTGTCTGTCTGTCTGTCTGTCTGTCTGTCTGTCTGTCTGTCTGTCTGTCTGTCTGTCTGTCTGTCTGTCTGTCTGTCTGTCTGTCTGTCTGTCTGTCTGTCTGTCTGTCTGTCTGTCTGTCTGTCTGTCTGTCTGTCTGTCTGTCTGTCTGTCTGTCTGTCTGTCTGTCTGTCTGTCTGTCTGTCTGTCTGTCTGTCTGTCTGTCTGTCTGTCTGTCTGTCTGTCTGTCTGTCTGTCTGTCTGTCTGTCTGTCTGTCTGTCTGTCTGTCTGTCTGTCTGTCTGTCTGTCTGTCTGTCTGTCTGTCTGTCTGTCTGTCTGTCTGTCTGTCTGTCTGTCTGTCTGTCTGTCTGTCTGTCTGTCTGTCTGTCTGTCTGTCTGTCTGTCTGTCTGTCTGTCTGTCTGTCTGTCTGTCTGTCTGTCTGTCTGTCTGTCTGTCTGTCTGTCTGTCTGTCTGTCTGTCTGTCTGTCTGTCTGTCTGTCTGTCTGTCTGTCTGTCTGTCTGTCTGTCTGTCTGTCTGTCTGTCTGTCTGTCTGTCTGTCTGTCTGTCTGTCTGTCTGTCTGTCTGTCTGTCTGTCTGTCTGTCTGTCTGTCTGTCTGTCTGTCTGTCTGTCTGTCTGTCTGTCTGTCTGTCTGTCTGTCTGTCTGTCTGTCTGTCTGTCTGTCTGTCTGTCTGTCTGTCTGTCTGTCTGTCTGTCTGTCTGTCTGTCTGTCTGTCTGTCTGTCTGTCTGTCTGTCTGTCTGTCTGTCTGTCTGTCTGTCTGTCTGTCTGTCTGTCTGTCTGTCTGTCTGTCTGTCTGTCTGTCTGTCTGTCTGTCTGTCTGTCTGTCTGTCTGTCTGTCTGTCTGTCTGTCTGTCTGTCTGTCTGTCTGTCTGTCTGTCTGTCTGTCTGTCTGTCTGTCTGTCTGTCTGTCTGTCTGTCTGTCTGTCTGTCTGTCTGTCTGTCTGTCTGTCTGTCTGTCTGTCTGTCTGTCTGTCTGTCTGTCTGTCTGTCTGTCTGTCTGTCTGTCTGTCTGTCTGTCTGTCTGTCTGTCTGTCTGTCTGTCTGTCTGTCTGTCTGTCTGTCTGTCTGTCTGTCTGTCTGTCTGTCTGTCTGTCTGTCTGTCTGTCTGTCTGTCTGTCTGTCTGTCTGTCTGTCTGTCTGTCTGTCTGTCTGTCTGTCTGTCTGTCTGTCTGTCTGTCTGTCTGTCTGTCTGTCTGTCTGTCTGTCTGTCTGTCTGTCTGTCTGTCTGTCTGTCTGTCTGTCTGTCTGTCTGTCTGTCTGTCTGTCTGTCTGTCTGTCTGTCTGTCTGTCTGTCTGTCTGTCTGTCTGTCTGTCTGTCTGTCTGTCTGTCTGTCTGTCTGTCTGTCTGTCTGTCTGTCTGTCTGTCTGTCTGTCTGTCTGTCTGTCTGTCTGTCTGTCTGTCTGTCTGTCTGTCTGTCTGTCTGTCTGTCTGTCTGTCTGTCTGTCTGTCTGTCTGTCTGTCTGTCTGTCTGTCTGTCTGTCTGTCTGTCTGTCTGTCTGTCTGTCTGTACTCTGTGGTAATCATAAATCGATATATCTCCGGAACCCTTTGACATATCGACTTGAAATTTTGCCATCTTATTGTACTCAAAACAATATTATGTCATTAAAATATGAAGGAAATCGGAAAACTCTAAGGTGGTTTTTCCGGGTTTTTTCAATTTTTCACCGGAAGTTTCTTGTGACCACTCTACAAATCGCAAAAGTGGTCCGATCGATTTCATTTTTTGTGAAAAAAACCTCTATCAGGAAGAGACGAAGCCTATTGAAATTGGGCATGGTCGGAGAATTCCAAGTGGGTTTTTCAAGGAGATTTTCCGAAACACACGGTTCGCTTTAAAACGACATATCTCCTGAACCAATAGACTTAATCCAAATTTGAAAAATGCACCGTATGACTCTTTGATGACGCAACAAATTATTATTTCACCATTTTTTCGAAAATTTACAAGTTTCTAGATAATTACTTACCAATAGAAAACAAAACAAAAAACAAAAGAAAGTAAAAAAGCACACTCGACTGTCTCGATTTTTTTCCCATAAACTACGTACCTAGCTCACTCGACTGTCTTTATTTTTCGCCAATAAACTAGGTACCTAGCTCACTCGACTGTCTTAATTTTTTGCCCATAAACTACGTACCTCGCTACGTACTGTCTTGATTTTTCGCCAATAAACTACGTACATAGCTCACTCGACTGTCTTGATTTCCCACAAAGAAGAAATATGTTGGCATTGTTTTAACTTTCTTTTGTTTTTGTTTCTTTAGTCCCTATTGGCAGTCGAGTGGGCTAGGTACATAGTTTGTGTGGAAAAACCAACGTGTGGAAAAACCAATACAGTCAAGTACGTAGTTTGTGGGAAAAATCTCCAGTTCTCTGAACTTTCATAGCGTCGTATACACATCTTTGGTGCCCAATGATAGGTTAAATATAAAAATATGCTCATGATATGGTGCCATGGCCTCTATTTCCATCTTACATGAGCAATGATAAAATATCATGCTTTTATAGCGTCGTATAAATTATCTGACCTCTATACTAATCTAATACCTAATGAAAACTACATCTATACTAATCTGATACCTTTCAAAACTATGTACCTCACTTGTTAATTCACTGAAATATTTCGAATTTTCATAGTAAATATAGGAACATTAATTTCCATTTTCAACCTCAACACTGATACGAATCTATTTTTTGTCATTATACCTGAAATTCAATTCAGGCTCTTCAATCACCCTGTATAATCGACTCCTTTGTTCATGTTCAAAAAACAAAAGTGAAATCTCGGTTATGTGCTAATGAAATCTAAGTGAGGTGATAAATGTATGCACCAGTCATAATATTCAATCATCTTCATCATTTTAACAAACATACGTGTATACGGAAATGTTATTATTGTCAGACCATTATCTACGAAACCACCCAATAGAATCGAAACCCATTTATCTCCGTTATCGCACATAATCTCAATTTCTCTTATCCATTGTACGAGCCAATTTATTGCACAAATCAAGTGAGCGCACCTTCAAGGCACGTTGAACCTTCCCCAACTAATAACGCTAATAACGACCGTTTCTGAATCTAACGTCACGCTTTTGCTTGCAGATAATCAAAACTACGACGTAGAGAGCGTAACCGTGATAACCGGCGGCGAGACCCTATCGGCCTTCGAAGAAGGCCTAGCAGACGACGATTCTTGGGTGGAAAACCTGAGCAACGAAGACGACGATGAAGATTTCCCCTCCAACTCCTCCGAAAACACCTCTTCGTCAGGGGACGAAGTCACCCTCACCTGCTCCGCTGCCATCGACCAAGAAGAAGACTTGCGAGGCTATCATCGTACCGCCATAGATTTCACCCTGCACACCATAGTGGAAGAGAGCTGTGAAGAAAGCGAGGTCGAGCAGAAGGATCGACCCATCTCAACGACAGACCTGGAAAAGTACTTTTTCTTCGGTCTCGGTGATGGTAACACCCACAGCTCGAACAAAGAAGACGCTTTTTCCGAAACCAGCAGCATATACAGCGAAGGTATGGACTCGCTAGGCGGCCCTGAAGAAACTTTGCAGTACAACGACAACCCCGATCCAGCTGAGCTAGCGTCTTCAAGACTGGAGAAGTACTTTCTCAGCGGCTTCATGGGTTTCACCGCTGAAAGACGGGACTCTGATGGTAGCGTAGGTAGCGACAGCGAAGGTAGACCTAGCCCAGAGCAACGTAGAAAGCGACTGGTTCGTGCTAGGGGCACCGGAAGATCGCACTCTTCTTCTCTGGATAACCTCGATAACGCTGGCAACGACCAAACTAGTGAAGCGCAGATAAACTCAGAAGATTCTTCCAGTTCCGAGTCTGAGGGTCACGATGAAGCTAACAGCTTCGAAAAATCCGATGGACAGTTCGATACGGTGAAACGTAAGAAAGGCAAGAAGCAAAAAACTTCATCGCCTATGGCAGAGGAAACTAAGAACTTGGACGCTACTCAGGAGCTGGACGAAAACGAATCTGATGAGGACGGCCATAAAACGCCACAACCGGAAATATCAACGACGCCGTCTAATCTAACCACAACGACTAACCAACAGAGTAGAGATAGCGGTTTTATAGGTAGCTGTGATGATTTAATTAAAGAACAAAGAGATAATTCTACGCCTGAACTTCCCTCCACTAAAAACGAATTGAAATTAGAACTAGAAGATATAACCGAAGAGAGAAAAATCGAAGAGAAGATCATACCTCTGTCAACCCCACCTGCCACTTCGTTAACAAGGAAGGATAGTTTCAACAACTGGAGCTCTGATGAAGAGACAAACCTGATGATGTGCAAGATGAGACAATTCTTCAAAACTATGGTAGCTAACTCGCAGCTGAACGCTTCCTCGAAACCGATAACCCCCAATTTGAACTTGAGGGTGTCTCCCAAACCAGTTCCTAGTCCTAGAGCCAAACGTTGTAAACCTCCCCAACTCGTGTATTTCGAGAACGAATTGACCAGGTTGATGAAGACCGTGCCAGGTATAAGAGATGACCAGGTCAGAGAAATCGTTGAATATCTGAGTAGCGAAGACACTTGGAGCGATTCCTACGATTCTTCCGACTACACCAGCTCCGACTTGGAAGTGACTACATCGAAATCCGTCCTACAGCAGCAAATATCAGACAGTTGTAAACAGATAATAAACAAGTTCGATACTAGTGTCGATGATGAAGGTGATGAAGGTGACGGTGGTATAATAGACGAAATCCACGGACTGAACAAAGAAACTGCCTTCGTGTACCAAAAGCTAGTGGCTTCATTCGAAAAGATGGCCACAGGCGACCAAGAAGACACCTCCATCCCGAAATTGACACCACACAGCTCCCCCCCATTGATAGCCAAAGTAATGCATCACATAGGCAGCCGACTGGTAGCTCTTATGCACGAAGTTTCAAGCGGTGAAAGCCATCCCAGCACCTCTCCCAGAACCAAACACTACCACAGAAGGCTCCAGCACAAGATATCCTCAGCTTCCAGTACCACTACCGAGGACGATTTTCCGGAAAGCAACAACGACACTATAGCAGACCACCTAGCGCCCTACTTGCTCCCTAGAAGCAGATCCCACGACCTGTTGACTGGCGAGAGCAGGATTCTCCAGCAAGGAGGCGTTTCCGACAACGTGGAAGAACGCGAAGCGAGCGACTGCGAACGCTTCAGCTGGAGAGGCAGCTTCGAATCCGCCCTGCTAGCTGCGGACTCGCGCAACAAGCTATCCTTGCTAGGCCATGAGGGCGCCTCGGCCTCAGCGATGGCGATAGCTGCGAAGCGAAGGTCAGCCGGCGACCTGCTCTTCAGCCACAAGAGCTTAAGTCGCGAGCAGCTGGACAGAGTGCGAAGCTGTGGGAGCATAGGCGGTGCCAGCAGCGAGGACAAGCTGTGGATTGCTAGGCCCAACCGGAGGAGATCCAGCGTGCCGGATGCTTCTTGTGGCTCGGGAGCAGACGACGAGGACGAAGATATGGAGAACAGGTCGACGCTGCCGAGGAGTCTGCAGAGCGGTGCGGTCACTACCAATTCCTTGCCCAGGCTGCCGACCAACGCATGCGCGAATGTTATGCAGAAGAGCCAGAGCATGCAGGGTTTTTTGCCGCAAAATGTGAAGAGCGCTCGGTACAGGCCTCCGGGGTTTTGTAGGCTGACGCAGGTGCCGAAGCGGGCGGTGTCTGCGCCTGGTTTGCAGCCGAGCCACCAGAGAAGAGGGAGGAGAAGTCTGCAAGCGAGTAATGTTCCTAGTGGTAAGTGGCTGGACGGATTTTGGTGGTGGTTGAGGTGGTGGTGGTTGTGCGGTCATTGAAGGTATGGAAAGTAGGTTTGGGCACCTTCTGAGTGGATTTTTTATCGATTCGACTAAGGTGTATCGTTGCATTTTCGCCAGTTAATTGTTCAGGGTTGTTATCTCAATGATGTACAATTCGTCGAATGGGTTAACATTTTAACGATCATAACTTAGCGCCACTAAAATGTGAGGTTTAATTCTGTCAAAGTCAACATTAACATTATGCTAGGAAGCTCTGATTGGTATTTTTTTTTAATTCGTTGAGACTGTGTTGAGTTATAGGTCTGTGGAAGAACTTCAAGTTATAATTATGGTAATGCTTAGCAAAGCTCAATTTTTTCTACTGCCCAAAGGAAGAAGAAAGAAGTATGCCTCCATCTCAGTAGTGCGATAGCGATCTATACAACAAAATCCTGTTAACCCTCAATATAATCTGTACAGTGCATTCTCCAATCTTCAAATACCTATAGCAGAATTCATTAAATCCTATAGTGGAGTGTCGTTGTTTCCGGCAGAATCAGAATAATGAAGACGATTCATCTATATAGCAATTCGAATTAAGAGTAAACGTTGATAAATCTACCTCCCATATTCGTTTGCGTACTGTGGATTGATTTCGAAGTAAACCAGAACGAGCAACGGAAAGTTGAATGTCGTATACAGTGTGATAGAAGAAATAACAATAACTCGATAAGATCCGATGAACCTGAAATTTGTAATCAGGAAACCGAATTGGTTGACTAGTATTTAAATTCAAATTCATGGTTTTGCCTTGAAAGATTAAGTCTTTACCGGAAGTTTCGTACGGTGGAAATCTCGAAAACATTCGAATTTAAGGGCGTCGATATGAGGGGGGGGGAGGTCATAGGGATAATTACCCCCTCCCCCAAAAGTAATGATGTATCGGAAATGTAATAGATATAATAGACGTTAATTTGTAATTTGTCTGTCCAAAGAAGTTCAGTTTTGTTTCTAATTCTAATTCGGTGAATATACACTGGCCCATTCCGCAGGCATAAAAATGCAGACAACGACTATTGAATGGAAAGAAAATGAGTAGTAAAATTGCAAAATTTCCATAATTCGATATGAAGAACTGAAAATATTTCGTTTTAAGCTATTGAAATTCACAAATCCTTCATTGCAGCTTCAGAAATTCAGTAGTAAAATAGCATGCGGAAACATAAAAAGTACACAAATCCATTCATCATTTTGTGCTCTCTTCAGATATGTAAGCAGTTTTCGTAAATTCAAACATACAGGATGCTTTTTCGAGGACCCGATAATATCTTGAATTTTTGTAATCCGGGCCTGGAATTCTTTTCTGACGGATATACAAGTCGCTGGGGTAGCAGTGGGAAAACACGTCTACCAAATATAAAAGAAATATACCAGGTGGTTCGTATGCTATGAGCCTTCAAAGAAATGACCAGAATTGATAAAACACCCTATATCTCGATAATGAAACATGTAAGACCAAACATATATGGTATATTCAGAACGATCTTGGTCACCTCTATCCACCGTTGAAGTATTTCCGTTTCCCAACGGAACACCCTGTATACATGGTATCGAACATTTTTGAGTTAAAGATGAAACTTAGTCCACCACCGATATACTGAGAAAGCTAAATTTGTTTCAAGGACACTATTATGAGAAAGTCCCGAGGAAAGTCCTTCCTATTGTCCCTTAGATACATAAAATTTTCACTACACGCTGTTTAACCACTGACCAAACCGATTTTTCACACCTTGACACATGTTTCGCTATGTTAGCATCTTCAGGGTGCTGAAAAAATTGGTTTGATTAGTGTATTATCATGCCAGAGGTTCCAGTCTTCGATATAACATCAAATTTTCATTAAGGTTGAAGTCCAATATTCATTCGCGTGGAATTAATTTTCTAAAAATGACTAAAATAATGGCAAAATCAACGTACGTTACGCCGGCACGACCACTTCAACAAAATCCAAAAATTTTTGTACCAGAATTTAGTGCTTTTTAGTTGCTAATTTGTTCCACTTTCCAAAAATTTGTTGCTTATGCAGATATAGCAAAAATTGAGTCCATGCCAGCTTCACGAGAAGTTGGCACAACAACTTTTTCATTTCAACTCCGAATTGGGAAACAAGTATACCAAATTGTAGTGCTAATTTGTTGCTAATTTGTTCCCCCATTCGAATTTCCGCATTCATCTCTATTAAAGAAAAATATGATTCCATGCCAGCTTCACGAGAATTTGGCACGGCAACTTTTTCTTTTCAACACCGAATTGAGAAACAAATATACCAAATTGTGGTGCTAATTTGTTCCCCTATTCAAATTTCCGCAATCATCTTCATTGCAAAAAAATTTATTCCATGCCAGCTTTTTCATTTCAACAGGGAATTGGGAAACAAATATACCAAATTGTAGTGCTAATTTGTTGTTAATTTGTTCCCACTTTAAAATTTTTCCTATTTTTATCTATTTTGAAACCTCAAGAAGGATCATGCCAGAATTTGTTGCTTGCTTGTTGCTGATTTTTTCTCCTTTTAGAATTTTCGTTCGTTTTCAAAAAAGGTGATGAAATAAGCTGCCATGCTATATCATTTTCCTGAGAACTCCGTTTTCTGAAATGAAAAAATTTCGTTGCTCTTAATTTTTTCGGAAATGATGAAAATAGAAGATGTCATGCTAGACCTAATTCTCGAGAACTCTGTTAACTCACATAAAAAACCAAAAACGATCATGCCAGAATTTGTTGCTTTCTTGGAGGTTTTATGTCAGTTAACGAAGTTCTCGTGAAATAAGTCTAGCATGACATCTTGTATGCTCATCATCTCAGAAAAAATGAACAGCAACGAAAATTTTTAAAGGGGAACAAATTAGCAACAAATCAGCACTACAATTTGGTATATTTGTTTCCCAATTCCGTGTTGAAATGAAAAAGTTGCCGTGCCAACTTCTCGTGAAGCTGGCATGGAATAAATTTTTTTGTAATGAAGATAATTTCGGATATTTGAATAGGGCAACAAATTAGCTTCACAATTTGGTATATTTGTTTCTCAATTCGGTGTTGAAAAGAAAAAGTTGCCGTTCCAAATTCTCGTGAAGCTGACATGGAATCATTTTTTTCTTTAATAGAGATAAATGCGGAAATTCGAATGGGGAAACAAATTAGCAACAAATTAGCACTACAATTTGGTATACTTGTTTCCCAATTCGGAGTTGAAATGAAAAAGTTGTTGTGCCAACTTCTCATGAAGCTGGCATGGACTCAATTTTTGCTATATCTGCATAGGCAAAACATTTTTGGAAAGTGGAACAAATTAGCAACTAAAAAGCACTAAATTCTGGTACATAAATTTTTGGATTTTGTTGAAGTGGTCGTGCCGGCGTAAGGTACGTGTAAAATCAAACGCTTTTGGAAGTGTTTCACATTTGCATAAGTTTATTGTTCTATATGGATATAAAACTAATAATGTAAGTTAACAACCTATCGGCATTATTTTGAGTTTTGACAGCGGAACATTTTTGTAAACATAATTATTAATTTCCGGAATAACCATCCACATTTTGTCCACACTATTTTCGATGTTCTGAGTTCTGTCAGTTGTTGATGTTGTTATCAAATTGAGGTGAATAACACGAATGATGACTCACTTTTTTCCATTCGGTCTGCGATATTTTGAATTTCTATACTACGCAGAATGCGCCATAAACAGTTTCCAACCATTTATCTACTCTGATATTCAAAAATCATGAATATGCAGACCTTGAACCTATATATATTCGTATGATCGCACGTTCGAGAATGTACAGGGTGATTGTAATTTTCCACAATTTGAGTCATCTACTGAAGGATCAACAGTAATATCCCAAGACCAGGACAATTAGCCGACTATTATTTTCTTCATATTTCTATTGAGAGTACCTTGTATTTTGACAATTTGATGAGACTATATGCAAATTATTTATCTGAATAACACTTGAGAGGTTTATACAGGGTGAGTCATGACTAACCAGCCATAGTCCAATGGCAGATAGAGGGAGTCAAGGTGAGTTGATATACAGGGTAACTCACGGTCCATGGTACGTTAGGCGTTTATGGAGAACGGGACATAGGATCATTCTGAAATTTTGTTTACTCACGTAGTTGCTCTTGGTCTATCGATCTAAAATATTTTCAGCTCTGCGGCGTTGCCGGTTCTATCGAAAAGTAGCAACAACTTTGTTATTTTAAATGGAACACCCTGTATTTTATTGCATTTTCAGATTCTCTCTGAAGAGCTGATTTCATCGATGGATCACACTTGGGGTCTAGCGATAATGATTACAGAGATATAGGGTGTGAAAAATCGTCATTTTTCAACTTTAGGAATTTTTTTTGTCGAAACTATTCATTATTGGTCAAAACGGCTTACATGTCCCTATCTCAACTTTTGATCAACTATCTACTGATTCTATACATTTTCTGTATCTCTTCGGAAGATTTCTTATGGTTTTTCAAATAACTTGCCTATTATTTCTGATCATGTCTGAAGCTATCCAGCGATTGGAATATTGTTTGTCTAGGTATTCTCTCATATGTTTTTAGTTATGTGGAGGAGCCCTATCCTGTTAAGAGATAATAATCAATTCGGTTTCATACATCCTTGCATCACAGCCTTCTTTTGTAGTGTTTTCTGAATAATGAAAACATACCAAACTCACAATTTGATTCGCTGATTGAGAGAGTTCACATGCAATGAGATAATATTCAATATTACAAAATATTTAATTTGTATGACTTGGCACGTAATATATCTGATTCTGATAGAATGTTTTACCTATATGCAATAAGTGTTCATATTTTTTTATCTCTTGGAGCGCACGAAAGAAAATTCCTATAATGTTCGAAGAACATCGTGCGTACCTAGGGAGGATAGGGAGAGGTATGGATTAGGTACATATTCCATGTTTGGAACGGTCTCTTCAA